CTTTAAAGATTAATTTTCACATTTTCTTTTCCACCTGTGAAACATGTTTTCTTATAATAAGATTATTTACGTTTTTCACTTGTAATCATAAGTTTTTGAAATTAATACTACTAAATAAAAAATAAATTTAATTACAGTGAATTAACGAAGTTCAAACTGAAGTCAAACATCAACATTAACTGAAATATTGACATTGAACTGGAAATCATTTCAAAAATTGACAAATTTTGAATTACTTTTAAGTATTTGACGTATTTACTTAATTTTGCTTTCACCATTAATTCACAAAAGTTAAATAAACATAAAATGGAACGTGAGTACTGTATGACTTTCCCTGTTAATTAGTTAATGCATAAATTCTGAATTATTAAAGTTAATCAGAGAATTGGGACAATTACCACTCATCAATAATTTAATTTCGAATTATTTAAGGATTGGTATTAAGTGCCCATTTAAATTCACATTCCAGCAACGTTACTGCTAGGCCGAAAAACTACACAAATAAATACTATTAGTACAGTTATATGCTACTTGCGTGTACAGGTTGTTTATAAAGTGGCTGGGGTGACCTATGATATGATGATTGATTCTTGATGATCTTGCTGGAAGAATCTGCACACTGGCCTGTGAGTGGTTAATATGCAAGCAGTTATATGGTTGCACTTTCCAGATTATACCTATGTACTATCGATGACCTGATTTAAACTTTATAATTTATTTTCGCCTGCCTGGTGAGATCATACTGGGCATCGTTAGTAGCTCTTCGTTATGGCATGTGGCAAGCTGAAGGACTTCCACAAATTATAATCTTGGGGTAACATCCGAACTCGCAAATTATCCGAATTGTCAATAAAGGGCTGAAACAAGAGAGAGGATGTTGAATAGGTGTAGAACTAGTTTGATAATGTTGCGGGGTTTAACTTATTTAAATCCGGGAAATATTGAAGGACCCAGTTTCTCGTCAGGTGCAGAATGTCCCCTGGTACTATCCAAATATTCACAATTATGCTTTATATGATGATTCCCGTGTAGTCTGGGTGATTTCACGTCCGCGGTATTCAAAGATTCTTGGCCATTTGACTGAATTGAATGGCATGCCAAACAAATTGGATTTATTAGTATGCGTTACATTCAATGACATTCTAAATATAGCAAAGTTCGCCTTCGTTCACTTTAGGTGGTTTCGAATTACCTATAGAATATACAATATAATTTTAAGATATGTTTGATAAAATTGCATTTCATAATTAACTAGAAGTCTGAGATACATCAACTCTGGATAACTCTTAAAGGAAAGATTTAAAACTCGACAAGATTCATTTACTACTTTACCTCAAAAATCTCTCCCATAACGAATTAATGAGAGGTGGTAGACAATCTTCTAATCTCATACCTAATTCTGCATTTTAATAGCTGCGCCACGACACAGGGTAATGCTCCAAGAGATGACGCACTTCAGATGGGCAAAAGCGGAATCGTAAATAACATCAGCGCAAAATCACTTGTTCCTCATTTATGGTGCTCTCTTAATTTCCTAAGATCCGACCTATTGCTAGAATCCTTGAAAATGTATCAATGCGTATAATCCCCCTGGATTACTTGAGAAATGCTTTTAATTCCTCCATGCTACAATATCCTTGAGCACTAACTAGCCTCGTCATGCCTACACTTGCTTTGATGAGTCATCTGCAGATTAGGTTAAGTTATATAGTGATGGCAGACAATCAAATGGGAGAGATTAAAACGCAGTGAGAGTAGAGTAAGAGTGGAAATGCCGTCAGGTCATTATTAGGGTGCTTTTCTGCCCGATGTATGCGCTCAAATCTTCGTGTCATACTAGTCTAAGGTTCAAATTTCTGAATTTTACAAGTGCACTTTCATATCCCGGCTACACCAGACTTATTGACTTATTCATTGTCAACCCTAATGATCAGTGCAAAATCAACGCACAAAACAGCATCTCTTGAGATCAACTTCAGTTTTGGCTAAATAATAAGCACTTCCACTTTGAATAACAAGTTTGTCACAATCTATTTAAAACAAAATATTTGCGTCCAAATTTTAAAATTTTATTGAAATAAAATAAGGCGAGTAAATGAAATTCTAGCGGGAACATTTTGGGCGGAGTAGTCATTCACCCGATGCGTTCAGGTTCTTAAAAAGTAACAGCTCCTCCAATCCCGGCGAAGCGAAGCGAAGTAACAGCAGGAGAAAAGCGAATTAATTCATTTTAATGACTCACCTAATCCATTGATTAAATTACCACTCTCTCCGACGGAGATAATTAAATAAATCTGGGTTTTGTTTACTTAATTCAGAATCCACCCTCTCAGTGAGAAAGTAGAGAAAACAAGCATCACTTAATTGCGTATAAAGCAAATAAACTTGTCATTTTGACACATGAGGAGAAAAGAATGAAGAATCCATTATTTAGAGACTTTCTTATGCGAAATGATAAACATTTAACAAAAATTGGTGGGTTTTTAGGTCACCCCATTATGCGTGTCCGGAAGTGATTCGGGTAAGATGGAATGCTTCTATTGCCAACTGTCTGTCATCTCCTCCTCCTCCTCATATGTCGTTATCCTTTTGCATGGCATGCAATTTTTCTGTTGTTTCGTACACTGACGGTTCATTGTTGAGAGTTATTTTTCAATTAAGAAAAGTATGACGACTTGACATATGAATTGAGCATCCACTGTTACTTCATGAGAAATCAATGAATAATTAAACATCTTGGGGATATGGGCATCACAAATAGGATGAAGCCACTAAGTGGGAATTGGAGAACACTGAACTTCAGTTCTGTTGTCTTATAGATCATTAAAAACAGTTAAATTGCCTCACAGAAAGCCGGAAATTCCACTATATATAGCAAGATAAAATAGAAATTGCATTTTCATTGGTATGCTTTTTTAACGAAACTCCATTTATAAATAAGACAGAACATATGTTGGAGAAAATCGTAAATCATTACTTCTCTCGTTTATGGCTTGTGCTAGGAGATTTATAGCTGCTAATATCAAATTTTGAAGTGAAATCAAATACAGAAAGTTCGAATATATAAGTATCAGTTTTCCTTTATCTTTATGGCCATCTCGGTTTTGAATACTGACGTTTGGCTTTGAAGAGATTTTAATGAACAACCGCATTGGACGTTTATATTCACGAGAGAAGATTTACATCTACATACAATTCAATGAATAGGAGAAGTTTGAAAGATATCGTAATGTCATGTGTCAAATTTTCAGAATAGGCAAAGTGGTTTAATTTAAGGGCTTTTGAAATATATTTATTTATTTCAAATGGCAGGCGTTATAATAGGTATCATTAGCCCTTTAGTTGACTTCAGGCTTCACATGGAAGGAACATCAAAGTGAAAAATTTCGAGATGGAGGGGGTTGAAAAAAAATCGAGAGGGGGGAACTGGACACCAAAGTGACAGAAAGTCGAGAGGGGGGACAGAATAATGACTCACAGATGTAAAAGAGACAGACAAACACAAAGGTAGGAAAAATGTGAGGTAAGAACTGTGAAAGTGGTGAAATATGGCATGCAGTGGGGTGATGGTAGTTTGAAGTGAGAAGTCAACTGCCAGTTAATAGACTTTTATGCCGTATGAGTATACGTTGCCCAGGGTGCACCACGTGGAGGTAAGTCTATCGCACACCCCGCTTTTGAAATATGGAAATTCAAAAAAAACTTATGTAGAAATTGTAGGATACTTGGCTATTTATCGAGCCAACTATAGAAAACATTGTAATTGAAAAGAACATGGGTGCAAGAAAATATTAAAAAAACTGAATCCCAGATTCATGCTAATTTTAAGCATTTACCCCAAATTTAATGACTAGATACGCAATACAAATAGATAGATATTGTATTAAATTTGGAGAAATACGAACACAAACTGCATAATATTTGCCAAACAGTCCGTAGTAACTTGGATAGACGGAGATAAATTGAATGCAAATTATGTAATGTTGCAAGTTATCAAAATTTTAATCAGTTACATAATGCTATCTATTAAAGCATTCGCTTTTAGGTCTTACAAATTGACCACAATGGCCTTGCAAATGTTGCTTTCTAGATATAATTTATTACTGAATTGTTGTTGCAGTTTCAACAAGACATGATTAAGTGAAAGACTTGAACTGATTTATTCAATATCAATTTCGTGCATTATTTTCGACTCATTATCGTTGTACCCTTGCAATGCACGCTTCAATGGTGTAATGAAAATCAATGAATTCATGAAATTTCAATACTCTTGTTGAAATAATTTTGAATGATAAAACATAGTATCAATTTCATTAAAAAAAATATTTTTATTCATAGGGTGAGAAATATGACGGCCGAAGAGCAGATGTTTGGTCCTGTGGGGTAATCCTATACGCGCTACTAGTGGTCAGTTTCAATGCTAATGGATATTATACGCTATTTTTTATAAATATATTCTGCTCCAACATATTTATTGCATTTTTTCTACCAAAATAAGACTAATTTAAGTGAAAAAATTGCCATTATATCAATAAATAGATTTCAGCTAGAAAGTCTTGTTCTAAAGTCGACTCAGATCCGGAGAGAAAGCCGCATCATATTCACTTAATGATTTGGATTCAACAAAGAATATGAGCAAGATTGTTGTTTGAAAGTAAAAAAATACTTTCAAACCGATGGTGAATTTATTCATGACTTTCTGTCAAGATGTCAGGAGCAATTGTGAAAATTGCTTATCTTGAGACAGAACTTCAATCTTGCATTTTGACCAATCATATAACCCCGAATTAAGAATAACTTACTCTCGAAACAGATGGACAAGCTTCAAAACTTCTTTTCGAATATTCCATTTTCTCTTGAACTACTAAAAGATAGGCAAATCTGCAAACTCATGGTAAATGAAATATATCAGTCAGAAGGCGCTCACAACTAGAGATCTGTTTGTGAAAAATCCTATTAAAGGTACGATTCTGAGCTAACCTTTAATATTAATATTACGAATGAAAAGAACGGTAATTGAAGAATTACATTCTGAAATTGGAATTTCTGACATTTTTAGCACTCGTTAAACTTTTTTACATAAATATTAACTTTTTTCAGGTTTTTACGAACATATGGTTAGAGTTTATCTGCCAAGGCAAATGATTAAAAATCGCAGTCGATGCTGATTTCCTTCATTAATAATGAAATTCAAGATTGCCTCCGTGGATTTGAAACCTATATCTTTCAAATTGTTAAAATTTCATCGCCAAGAGGACTATACGTCCGAATGATGTAAATGATTATATCGCTGACATTAATAAAGCTATTTCTGTACAATTTCTAATTATATAAAATGCAATTTAATTGAAGAATTCTCATTGATCACTTTTTCGACGCGTGTATAACAATCTAATAAAAAATTGTAAGATAGGCACTCAATAAATTTTTGCGAATCTCGTTTCTTCTGCGTCAACATGAGTACAAGTTTGGCTTCTCAATCATTGATCATGGACAGAAGAATATATGCTATTTTTATTTAACGCTATGGAAATACTAAATAAAATTTAAAAGTGATATTTTACTTACAAAAATTGACAAGAGTTCACCTAGTCTTTCTCTCCTTCTCGGTTTAACTCAACTTTTGCGGCAGTCGGTTTTTTTTCTTAATTTTAGGGCGCTCTACCATTTGACGATGACAATTTGCGTAATCTGCTGGAGAAAGTGAAGAGAGGAAACTTTCATATTCCTCCTTTTGTTTCGTCTGATTGTCAAGCTCTTCTTCGAGCTATGATTGAAATCGACCCTAAAAAGAGAATTTCTGTGAGTTGTGTTGACATATGTTGCTTAGCAACGCTTATAGTACTATTATTACCTGTGCCTATTCTTTCAAGCGCTCAGTTACATGTGGGCTGAGCTCAAAAAATAATTATTTGTGAAACGAATAAACAGTTGTACATGACGCATCATGTCACATTATTGAAATATAGCCACCTCTGCTTCGTTCAAAACTTCTATGATGACAAAATCTCCTGGCTATAAGTACAGATGAGTGGGTCTAGAGGACTTGATCGCCCGCTCAATATAATCAGTGGTTCAATAAGCATGGAATATCGTCATTTTGAGCCATTTCATGAAGCCAGGGGGTCAAATTTTGAAATGTGTTGGTTTGAACATGAGAATACGAATTGGTGAATTAAGAGGATATCATGTTAGGCTAGTGATCAAATGAAGTAACTTGTTGACTTCATGACCGAATTCTGTGCTTTTAAACGATTCATTCGTCTACACTCTCTATTGGACTGCACCATCGTTCCTCCAATTCAATGACTATTCTGTGCTAAGAAATTGAATTGCCTTCGTGAAAATTCTAGGTATATTCTAAAGCGTAGTAAAATTCAATTGTTAAATAATAAGAATTGTGCAAGACTAAACTTCCTCTGACTGGCATTCAATTCTGAAGCTACTACAACTTAAAATGATTATTTAATTTCGAGCTATTTTTTCTAAAATTTAAATTAACTCAAGAATATTAGTCCCTCTAGTGATACCAACACCAGGGAAATTGCCAAGGGCTTTTAAGAGACTATTTGGAAAGGTATTGAGTACACGCAAAATATATTACAGACATAAGTAAGTAGCTTTAAAGGAAAATTTCCCAAAACATTTAAAATTTGATGCAAATCGATACGGAACCTGATTTTGCATGAGCAACACTCTTTTTCGACTAGTAGAATTTGAATTGACTCGGTTAATCCAGTTAAATCAAGTGAGCGGAAAGGGCGCGTTGTAATTTCCTCACGGAATAATCAAAGTTGTGACCATTTTTATACGAGAGGAAATCCAATCAAAGAATGATTTGATCTAGGTAGAATGAGATTGTTTTACTGTGATGAGATCTAAATTTTTTATTCTAGTTTTCAGGCTAAAACAGAAGACGAATAGGCTTTTCCCAGAAGTCGAAAAGAGTAACTTAGCCGAATCTTAAACTGAAAACGGTCGTAATTACACTATTTCGTTTGGTCAATGTTCACCATTTTGATTTTGATGCATTTCACTTCATGTATCGGCTGCGTAAGGGCTCGTTGTATCGTCCTCACACTAAATCCAATTTCCAATCTTTTCTCTAGTAGGATACACGATGTGCCACCTTTTGATTAATAAATTTTAAGACCTTATGTTTGCCATAAATCATTTATATTGGTTCTTTGAACTTTCACACTGCCCATTTTAAAAGATTGGAAAGTTTCATTCATAGCCTTTGAAAAATAGCAAACTGTATGGCTCGAATGATATTTTACTTTTAAAATAAATAATTTAAATGAATTAAAAAATTTTATTATACATGTAACTCTCAAATAATTCCATCCAGAAGTGAGTGCATTAACTCTTACAAAAGAAGGAAATTTTATTGCTACATTTATATATTTCAAATTGTAATAATTGAAGTTCTGTTTATCTTTTAGTTGAAAGAAGTCCTAGAACACCCGTGGGTAACTAGGTAAGAAAGGCCCATTTTTGGTGCCAATTTATGTCCTCGTTTTGTAATTATTCCCTCATGCTATTAGTCAGAGGTGCCACTCTGACAGTAGAGTTTGTCAAAAAAACAAGAGATAGGATTCATTATGAAACAACGACGTTCGTCTCGTATATACTGGTTCCATAAGTTCGCTGCTTGAAGGAGTAAAATGCAGGCAAATGCGGTGGTGGTGATGGTGGTAGTGGTATTGGAGGAAGTCTACAGCACACTCACATTAACTTGACGTGGTGAAACAACTGACTTCGCTGTTGTTATACTCGATTATGGACGTCTGCTTTAACCCCCACCCCCCTCCTTGTCACGTTTGCGGAGGCCCTTTATATTGAAAAAAAACGCATATTTCGCACAAATGCTACCGACATGGCCTCAATATCTCTGCAACTTGAAGCATTTCTCGAATCACGATTTATAAAGAAATGGCGAGAATGTATGAGTAGAAAAATAAAGCAGAGTTCAGTGTAAAAGCAAATACAGTTTTGAAGTCAAGAGGAACAGAAGAAGGAATCACTTACCGTCGTCTCAAGAACGCTTCCAAAGAAGTAAAAGAAGTGAGATAACGTTCATGTAAGTAGATGTTAGAGGGAAAGGCAGTCGTGAAGGGTAGTGTGGTAAAATTCAGAAATGAAAACGCTCCAGTTGAAAATAACAGGTTGAAATAGAGCTGCAACAATTGAAGTGGGTTCGTGAATGCCGGAGGAGCATTGGTTAGTTTTCTGTGCTAATCATGTAGGCGAATCTAATCACATTAACCTGGAGATGGGGGCAGATTTTAGATAAGAATTTGCCAAGGTGTTCGTTTTTAGTCACTGTATATTAAAACAAGTTTTCAGCCAGGCACACATTTAGCAAAGCCATTTGAAGTGTCATTTATTTTTAGCAATTTTGACTAAAATTCGGATTATCCACGAACTGATCTGTGTCGCAATTTAATTAAGTATTAACTTCCGATACTTGTCTCTAATGGATGATTGGGGACACATGCCAATTTATCTCCATTTAAAATTATGTGAAAGTATAAAAGAGTCAAATTGAGCGAGATGTGTTGAGACAGAATGCAAGAGGTTAGCAAAGTGGGAAATATCGACAAGGGACTTGAAGGGATAGTTAGCCAAATACTTGCCTTGAAAACACTATACTAAATAACTATATTTATAGAAAAAAGGCAATTAGTGGTGGTGGAGGGGTGTAATTGAAACCGGGATCATAAGCACTAATTCAGGTGAGTGTGTCTTCATGGTGGTCAATTCCGAGTGAGAACTATTTGCGAATGCACGTAGGCATCTCCTGTATACCATTCGAATATTTTGTTCAGTTAATAAAAGGTTTTATTAGCCAAGCACAAGATAAATCCCAACGGCTAACAGGAAGAGTAATTGTAAGTGGGAAGTGAGAAGCAAATTGCTTTTTTGACGAACTCAATTTCTGTTTACGCCTCATTGCGGTTGGTGAGCTAGGATTGGTGGGTATAATCACTGAAATCTTAACCTCAGACTTCTCAGATGTGCGATTTGACGCAGAAACCTAAGTTTTATGAACACTTTCATTGGTGGCTGGAGTTCAGAAACCACATATTTGAAAATAAGGAATAAAGGTGCTGAAATATTTGAGGATTTAACGTATCGCTTGTATTTGCGATGACCATAGTGATCAGGAGCCTCCATTGCAAACGGAGCCCCCAATGTCTCAGGCTGTGCAAACTTCCATCATTCCATCTCGTGAAGACGTCGATCCCGATATTTTCGCCACCATGACTTCCTTGCAGTGTTTCAGAAACGAAGAAAAGCTCTATGACGCCCTGCTTTCACCCTAGTAAGTTCTTTTTCCTCGCAATTGTCACGTGTTATAAAATAATTTATGTCAAATCGACGTGGAAGGATTTATGTGATCATTAAAAGGAAAATGATCTTTCGTTCAATCACAGACTTGAATTTAGGTCAGGTTGAATAGTTCAGGCATTTCTTTGTCAAGTTGTGCATATTTTCCAGTATGAAAGACTTGGGGAAATTGAAATTCTTCGTTTTTGAATAGACACAGTTAGCTCATTTAGCATTTCCAAATTCTAATTCTTTCGTTTCAAATAACACTCAAAATGACTTGTCATTTGAATTGATTTAAAATTTAACCACAGATACTTGAGTTAAGCAAGTTTGCTAGTATGAATTGGGTAACACCTCGATTATTCATTAACTGATATCCAATGTTCTGTTACTTAAGTTGTAAGAGTGCATGTGCAATGCATCGATGGGACTCTTTCTCAAACTCCTCTGATTGCCAATCGCACTTGAATATTATACCCACTGGCCAATAAATTATTCCCGAAGTTAGCATTAACGTCACGAACCAATCAGACAGATCGAAAACCCCCAATAAAAGGAGGGTTCATTTGCTAGTAAGGGGAGCCCCACGTCTATTGCAACAGTTGGATGGAAAGGCCAATTCAGTAAAGACTCGTTATCATTCGTTGTTTTTCAATGCATTCACACAAGAGTGTAAACTTACTGCGCATATATGGAACATTTGCATTCAAGTAGATCATTTTTGTTTAGAGGTGTCAAAATATATTTGCACATTTTTGGGTCTGAATGGATTGGAAATGAGGTTTGAATCTCACAATGGGGAAAAAATGAGTAACTGGGACCTCGGAAATAATTCAGCAGCAATTAGTCTGTAATGGCCAAGCACTCTGTGTCCTGATATTTTCCAGGTTAAACAAAACAATTGGCTTTTTCATGAGCGAAATCTAATCGCAAAACAGCCTCCTTCATAGTTGTGAACAGGCGAAAGTAAACGATATTAAATAATGGTAAAAACAGGCATCGGAAGCAGTTGCTTATCACTCCGTCTCCTCCCCATGAGGCGTGAGGAGCTTTGGTTTTATATTTAGTCAGTCTCCCTCCCTCCCTCCCTCTCTCCACCCCCACCCCCTCTCGATACTTCTCTACCCTGCTTGCTCCTTGGCCATCCTTCTGCAGCGCATTCGCAGTAGCCTCCGCTGTCGGCCGAACGCGTCATTACACAGCAGCCAAACAAGCAAATTTTGATACTTTCGAGGCTGCTTGATAGGCAAGGGACATTTTTATTTCATGTTCGATGGCTAGTGAAGTTGGAGTATAAGGCCGTGACTGTGAACTTAGTTATAACCTCATTATGTGTTCTGTTACATTTTCTGCAACTTTCCCTGTGACTTCAATAATCGCCTTCTTTAATTCCATTCGAGATGGAGGGAATTAATCACATAGAATCTTGGCCGCCCTACATTATTCGGTGATCGTGCCATGGTACTTCGATGCCTGTTTACCTCCCCCTATCCCCAGACCGGCTTATTCTTCCTTTTGAAAGTTTCCTTAATACTGTGTAGCTACAATTACATATACAAAGAGAATTAGTCCAAATTGTTAGCATTCTAACATATCAAAATTTTGACCTCAAATAAGGTAGAGTAAGGGATAGGGAAAATCAAAGATGGTACACTGCAAATGATAGTGTGTCAAAATCTCTATTCATGGTATGTTGGGCTAATGATAAATACCATAAAGTCTGCCATTTGAAATAATAATAATATTCATGGTATGTATGGAAAAGATCGATATAAAAATCTAGCCATGCATGCAGTAAAACAAATATGGTTACTTCCGATGAATCATTTCACAGCAGCATCTACCTGTCATCTTGTACACAAGGGGGTTGAAGTTCTGCCAGACTACATCAGTTGATAGTTCCGTAATTCAAAAGTGGAGAGCACGGCCATCGCTCGCTTTGGGCGATTTTTCCTAGAGTACTTTCAGAATCTCGAGGAATGAAGTTTTTGGGCTTCAAACCCTGGAAACTACAGCCATTATTTAATTAAATATATTATAAACAACAAAAATATAACAATTGATGTCATCTGTGCTGATACCATAATCTTTGGTATGATGAAAAGTTGCTTCATTTCCTTCTGGAAAAAAGTTGTGTCGAAGAAAAGAAACTGACATACACTCTTTTTAAACAGCGCAAAGGTTGGAATGTATTTTTTACGTTTTTATTTTTATTCCTTTTTGAAAGAAAAGACCTAAAAATAAGAATAAATTGAGTTTAATTTCATTAGTCCAAAACGAATGCTTGAACCGGTATGCACTTATTAGTAAAATTCATAGTTTGGAGATGATTTTTTTTTGAAAATGTTAATAATTTAATATTATTTGAATGTATCGTCTAGCACAGGACGTTTGTGGCTTAAACGCGTTTTGTAAAGCTTTCAATTTGCCTGAGTCAAGGCCAAAAGTACATGAATAAAAGTTGAGAGTATTTCATGAGTTCGGGTATTGCTCCTACACCTGAACCAAGCTATTATCACCCATTTATCCATTTTCTTGGACCGTTTTTTGGTTCGAAGTATGCGGGTTTCAGAAATCGATTTTTTTGAAGTAATGCGCTTTTATCTAATTGGTCAACTCTATTTGCCAAGACTTTACTCATCAACTTCTTGGCTGGTTCAGCAACGCGGAAATACTATGTAAACTTGCATTTGTATTTGGTTGCATAAGACAGGCATAATCAGAATAAAATTTACAAATTAGAGAAGTTTGATCAAACTTTGTTGATAGTCGAGAAACTTGTATAGAAATTTGATTGGAATCATAGATGAACACAACATTATTTCCCACGGAACGAATTTCGAATAGTCCTATTTTCATTACTTGTGGTGGGGTTGGAGTTCACAACTTTTGATCTTATGATCAGTAGAGTCCTGTTGTCTTTTAAGAGGACTTTTGACAATCTTCGAGAAATGAGAATATCACTCGATTCCAAAAATCAACCGTCAGTACTTTAGTTCATTTATTTATCCCGTACCCCAAGGATGCCTCCAATTTGTGCACTTATAGTGTGAAATTTTATCATACTAGGTAGAAAGAATTACCGACAATATTTTTAATGGAATTTGAGCCGACGTTGTTGTACATGTGGTCGATAAAATTAACGTGTGCGTGAATTAAATTTAACTTGAATGGAGAAGTGCTGGAGTGATGTCAACTTTGTTAATGTAAGCAAATAAGTCCGTTTGGAAAATGCCTAAAAATAGAATACTGGAAATAAGCAAGGGATACCATTGATAATTTTTTACTAAATCCACTTAAAAATACTCTGCTTTGATGGCGAGATGAACATGGGAAGAATTTAGTTTGATTCGACGTGAAATATCGTAACAAGGGGTCACGTATTAAGACTTTTAAAGTAGATATCTCCACTACTAATAATAATGCTTCTTTTCTTTGTAAAAGAAAGGCACTTGGAATATTGATTTTTCATTGAAAATTAAATTGAACAAGCATTAAACTGAAGCTCCTTGAATCTTTTGAGACAGCATTTGTTAGACAATGGCTTTTTATCTTTCCTGACAGTCTTCAATGAACTTTGGATCGAATTGTTATTAGCCAACCCTATCTCTCTAATCGAAACTTCATATTCTTCGCCATTTAAGTTTCAATCCCATCGCATATGTAATACTCATTTAAGCTTTATCTAGGGTGGAAATGTCAGTGATTTCATACTTTATTACTCATAGAAACAGACGCGTCTTTACTTTGCATCAGAGCTTGGAACAGAGGAAATAAGCACTTTAGTATGATTTAAGTATCAAAAAGGTGGTACAAAAGTGAATACCGTTAGAGGTCCTAATGGGGCCGGGACACGAATGCAAACGATTAATCATCGGAGTAACCAACTTTGTGCAATGATGTGTCCTCCATCAGACGTCCTATAGGAAAACCATTTATCTATTCGGCATTTACACAAATATTTACACAATTTGCTTTCGGCTTTCTCGTTTTATTGTATATATTAACGTTGTTTTGTTCGTTAATAGGAACAGAGGTGAATATAGCTTTCAAAAAATTTTGTACTCCGATCAGCTAAAATTCTTTATTCTAACGGTTTAAGTTGAATAATAACTTTAACTTGGCTTAAATGCATGTCTTTTTTCTGTTATTAGACAAGTCTAAACTACTGCTTTTCTTTAAAATGTTATTTCATAGAAAGCAGGATTGAGTGTGGAATAACGTTGGAGAAGGAAGAGTTGTTGAGTTTCCACTTACTTCGTAACAAGCTCCCTTTTATCCGATTAAATATTATTCTAATTAAATAGAGGTTACCAGTGTTTTGCGAGATGATTAATTCTCTTCATTTTCTGTTGATTAAACGGCTTAAAAATACACGTTTTAATCACAGCCTTCCCTTAACACTCTACACCCAAACTCAATGAATTAATGTTCGGATTAAAATTCGAGCAATTTTGTCTAGACCACATCCTAATCCAGTCGACTGAAATCCAACGCGTTTAGGCAAATCAGCAATGACGTATGTCCTGTCACATTTGGGTACATCTAGTCTGTTACACTTAGGAAGCTCTTCACAAAAAAAGATTGCAATTAAATATCAAGTCATTATATTTATTTATTTCAAATGGCAAGCGTTTTGAAAGATATCATTAGCCATTTAGCTGACTTAGGGCTTCACAGAGGGGAGGAGGAACATCAAAGTAGCAGAAAGTCGAGGGGTGGGAAACAGAAGAGTGATTCACAGGTGTAAAAGAGGCAGACACAAAGGTAGAGAAAAAGGTAAGGTGAGTACTGTGGAAGGAGTCGAATATGACAACCAGGGGGGGGGTCGTGGTAGTTTGAAGTGAGAAGTCAACTGGCAGTCAATAGACTTTTTTTGCCATATGAGTATACGTTGCCCAGGGTGCACCACGCGGAGGTAAATCTATCGCACACCCCTACCGATTGCGCCACGGAGGCAGCACAAGTCATTATATTAAAAGCAAATTCAATGAATGGGAAAATACGTCAATGATTTAGGCACGATGCCTTAATTATGATGCCCTTCAATCAAAAATAGCTTTCATTGAAATGATAGGCTTTACACTACTTGCTATGAGGTAAATTTACGATTAAAGATTATCGATAGTGAGTCGCGTTTGAGTTACTTTGTATATTTCTTTGTATTGGAAAGACAATGGCACCAAGTTAGTGGGAATAATTTCTCGAAAGTATTCCCAGCAAACGCGTTGAGCTCCTTAAAAGAAACAGTTACTTCGGTCCCTTCAATGATTTAGGCAGTTGAATTTTGCATGACGGACAAAGAGGAGGCGCATAGAATTTGTGAAATAGGAATTTTACGGTTTAAAGAGGCAAACGACAAGGCAAATTGGAGAGGATTCACCTTTGGGGAAGGATTGTGCTTTAGCCACATTGCTTTTAAAGCGAAGAGAGTAGTTTCTATTTATTGGCTTACAGGCTATTTGACTCGATTTATAAAATCAAACTGAGGGAAGAAAAATGACCATCTCTGAATCCCAAGTCCCCTATATAATTTAGCAAAATTTATATAATTCTTCTCACAAAGATTTCATTTACTTATCAAACCTTTTGTCTGACTTTAATCGAAAATCGTGTAGACGTTCAGAGTAGAATCCGCCCGCCATCATGTCTGATTTTATTGTCAAACCGATGAGAAGGCCACCCATTAAGCGTGAAGGTAAGGTGTCTACTATGGGCCAAAACCAAACGATTTGAAATACTTAGTCACTCACCCCACACCCACCTTCCAAATACGTCATCACGATTACCCAAGGTAATTCCATGCTTGTTGTTGATGTGTATCTTGACACACGTCCTGGCAACGCCTTCTGAACCTTTTCTGGTAATAAATTAGCCTTCTATCATTGCGAGATTGACTAATTCCAAGCAATGCGTTGTACAACCTCGTATTATGCAGATGTGTAAGTCGATCTAAGCCTGGTACTTTGAACTGAGAAGTGGAATGTAGATGCTGATTGAAGCACGCTCTTTACTCATTCAAATAGAATTTAGTAATGAGCGCATTTCGTGATTCCTTTTAGTCATAATACAGAGAAGGTTATTTACTTCCTCCTCCTTGATCGGAAGATCAGAAGCCCGTGCTACGAGGATCCGGATGAAATTAGAACGCGAAGTAGCACTAGTGAGTTTCGCCTTTTATTATTATTAATGCAAAATCTATGCCTTTTCGCGTGAATGTTATTTTGTTCAACAAAAAAAGCAATTACGTCATCACCCAGTCCAGTTTTAAATTTGACCAATTTTTTTGGAATATGCAAGTTGAAGATAACTGCCAATGGCCCCGCCCATACTCAACCCAAGTGGTACCAAGGTGAAATTCATCGATTTCTGTCACTTTGAAGAGAGCGTGAAACAAGCACATTCCAAAGAAGAATGAACAACAAGTTGTTTCTTTTTTCGTAGTGAAGAAAGTGAACAGACGTTTATGAAGCAGCCATTTTAAGAGAAAGTTGCGATGGCGAATTACCCATTTTTTGAGCTGAGTACTAAATATTGCATAAAGGCACAGGGAAAGAATGAAATCAATGCAGATGCTATTTAAACATTTTTTCCAGTGGTTAAATGTATTTGCCCTGATGCTTATAGGCAACGACGATGGTGAGTCGAACAGTTCTAATTAAAGTTATGGCAATTGTCTGAAAGCTTTTTGACTTGTCCTTGTATTCTTACTCTTCAACCAATAGGTAATCGAATGTTGAGGAAATGTGCCAATATAAACCATGCCTTTTACAACCTGACTATTCTGTGATAATACTGACAAGATATGCGTAGTCAATCAGTAGTTAAAGATGATTATTTCAAAATATATGTTATCTTAATTTATAAAACAGAATCAGAACTCGTTGCCATTAAACTTAAGACCATCTACTTTCTTTCTATTCTTTACGACAAGTCGACTGAAGATAGATCTATAACTCGCGATCCTAGTTAATTTACCAGAAGTTATGTAAATTTTTAGTCGATTCTTCGTGTAAGGGGGTCTACTCATCAGCTGTGGATGTTCACGTTCGTATCGATCTTCAACTAATTGAGAAGATCCTAGCCCTTGTTTGTTACGAAATATTAGGAGTGGAAACTGTACCTTGCAACCCACTTCATGCGTTTTTGAACGTGATCCTTTTATTCTTGGTGTGCTATTCCATCTTTATTCTCCATTAAAATACTAATAAGATTATAATTGGTTCTTTTCAGCTCTTTTCCCAAACTTGGCAGATATACAATCTGCTTTAAGGGCGGTGTGATTAACGTTAGCGGCGAGAAGTTGAATAGTAATGGAGCAAAGGTGACTCATGACGCCGTAGTTATATTCATAAATGCATTATCCGCCTTAGCTCGTATAATTTTACCTCAGCGAGGGGCGTAGCGGATACTTTGAAGAGGAATTGTACAGTAATTTGTCGTTGTGGGATGATTCCTACTGGCCTTCTCTTAGACATACCCAGATCTTAGGGAGCAACAGTTGTTTCTCCCATATTAGCAGCACTTAAAACACATTCGTTGGTTTTTTACCAATGTAAAGGTAATTTCACTTAACAGAGAATAAATGATGCTCGCAAATCTGTTATGAAATTGTATTCTACTGCCATACTACTCATATAGATTTTTAAGTAGAGGCTTCTGCGAATGTACTTATGGATAGAATACTATAGAATATCTCAAAAGCGAGTATCTGAGGTATCGGTTTGGAATATAAACAATATCTGATTATATTTGCTTTTTCTTAATGTTGTCAAAAACAAAATTGAGATGATATGCTTAACAATTTTTTTTATTTTTCTACATTTTAGTCGGAATGTGTCCCGTAAAAGGTGAGTATAACTTGGTGTTTATGAAAATTGTCCTATTTCCACACTAATTTAATAAATATATTCATAATATGTGTCAAAATATAGATATTATCATTTAATATTCCTTATTTTAAGCTGATTAGCAGATCATTTGATCCAGGCTCTGAAATAATCAATGATATAAGATGAAACTAGCTGACCACCAATGTGTTTGTATTGAGTAATACCCTATTTCATTTCTCTGCCAGATCCTCCCCGTAAAAGAATCGACAGTCTTCGATTAGGAATTAATGGAACTGTTCGTCTTTCATTGGGAGATCTTAGTGAAGGTTCGCCATTGGCTGGTAGACGCGGACTAGCTGTTCAAAAATTGTAAGTTTTTCTTAGGTTACTGCATGCCTAATAACTGAACCAGCTTCAAAAATCTGGTTTCTTGCTGGAGTTTCTCTTGCTGGAGTCAGAAAGTTCCATTAGAGTCACGAAGGAGGAAAAGACTGTCTTCAATCAGTGTACTTTCTGAAGTGTTTATAGCGTAATATAGAACTAAATGTATAAAGTGCATATTTCGTAGGCTGTATGCAAAAAAACGAACTGCAGGAAATTTTAAACAAAGCGAAGCATTAGAAAGTACAGCCACGGATTGGCACTAATATAGATAAGATAGATCATTCACTTTTAGAAGGAGATATAATTTAGAACAAAGGTTTTACAGGCAGACAATGTCCTAAACTATTGCTAACAGACAGATTTTTCATTATAGATTTGGGGAATAGTTTCATTCTATACTTACTAATAGATAAGAACTCAAGAATACTTCTCGTCTGAAGGTTGATAAACGGGAGGCCATGTCAGAGAGTGAATGAATTATTTTTGAAGGCACAGTCTGCCTTCTTACCATCCCGAAGAGGCATGAAGGTGCATATAAAATCCCACATTAAGGAAGTAATGTGGTCTTTTCACTATATTTAAAAGTGGATCTTAATTAGTTAGTTTTAGTAGTGATCTAGCGGAATCTTTCGTTCAATTTCTATTGGATATGCGTATTATCAACAGATAATCGGGTAGAATTTATTTATTAGACCAGTATGGCTTTTATTTGAGAGAGGGTAAAACTGAGATAAAATGGACACGAAGTGCACAATCGTGGAAGGGGAAGATCATTGAAAGAGTTGGACTATACTCACCATTGCCTCATTGTTGAATACGGCGTTGAATTCGCAATCCTTGTATAATTTTTGGACACTTTTGTGAAATAAAAGAACTAAAAGAACGTCCATATTTAAATAAATAACTGATTAATTGATTGCTTTAATTTCGGAAATAATCTAATAGTTGTTTATTGAAATTGCTACCAATTTACGGATTTTTTAAGAGAATGAATACGAACGATTCTGAAGGAAGGACTGTCATCTCAATGAATTGAAGATTCTATTTCTGCCTCTTAGTTGTCAAGGTATCTGCAGTGTTTCATTGAATTGAAGTGAAAAGAATTGAAGTGTGTGTGTTTGCTCTAGTACAATGATGAATTGGATGGAAATTTCGCTAAAAATAACTTCAATGTTTCGACACAAAACCTAATCGATCTTATACCCCCACAATGGCTATTTTTAATTGATTTATTCAAGAGTATTTAGTAGAGGTTGGCTAATCTGAAAAAAACTAAATCTAACCATTTTCTTGAGAAAACAGTTTAAAGAATACCAAATCTGTAATACAGTTTATATATATTTGCACCGATAACTAAGAAATGTGATATGTTAGTGGTAATTTAAAAGTCTTCCATATTCTTTCAAGTCTTACTTTTTAACCACGTTTAAATTGATCTATAATTAAATTTCATCAGACGATAATCTTAAATAATCCCATTTCTTGATTATCTATCAATCACTTTGGAATTAAAGTTATATGCATTTTGTCTGCTTTGGTTAATTTCAGACGCAAGCAGTCTGCAAGTACTAATTTGGATATTAGATCAAGTACTCCAGCGAGTCCTATCAGTTCTCCAATTGGTTATTATCGAGGTCATTATCGTATGAGCGGATATGAGGCGTGTAGCCCAATCGAAGAAATCACCGACCAATATCGAAAACATGTCATCTCTTCAACTCGAAATCAAGCAGAGGCTCCTTTGATTATGCGGAAGCATCCGAATGTCCACCAGGGTCAGATCCTTTCTCCTCGAAACCAATATCGATTCTCTCAAATACGACACACTTCTCTACGAACCCCGACAGATCATGTATCTCTGTCTTCGGATAGAAGGAGTTTTAACCAAAAAAATAATTCACAAACTCCGAATTCAACAGAACCCGAGGTTCTGCGAAAGACTTCGAGTCCTCAGAGTCCGTCGCTTATTCCTCGGCCAGCGGCTTGCGTTGAAAGTAGTAAAGAATCAACACCGAAACGAGCTGATGCAAGGAAAATTGACCAAAAGGTAGTTTTATTTATGAAAAATTTTTTTACAATTTTATTCAATTCTGTTTATAGTTAAACATTGACGTTGCCAGCGAGATCATATTAAATCTAGATACTCGACAATATATGCAAATATCTGGAAATAAATAGGCGTAAGTAGTGTTTGTCTGTGGTTCCTGCAAAGGGATTTGTAATTTTTGAAACGGGGTTGTTTGTCATTGCCCCCAATCCTCTGTCATCAGTGCGTATATATTTAAAAACATAACTAAATACTACCACATTCCCTATTGTATTAACTGTCCCACAGGAATCGATATACGTATAGCTAAAGAACAGGAGAAATGAACATTTTTTCTTTTCTTGTGAAGCTTCAAATTAAAGATAGTGTTGTCAAAAATTTATATGAAAAAGAAATACCCTATTTCTGAGCAAAGTACTCTGATCTAAGTCGTGAGATTCCATTTGACCTATTTCGAAAAAAAACACTAACCTTTTTTCCAGCATTTATCTTGTGTAGAAAGGCAGCTTTTAAGGGTCTCTAATAAGTATTCTACGCGTGCTTTGATCATCTTGCCCTCCACAAATTCCAATTCATTGAAAATGTGCAGCTTAGGGTTGAACGGTGTCATTGTACGTGAACCTATATTGCAACGCGTATATTGATCGACGAACGTAGTAGATTGAGGTTAAGCATTTGGTTGATATAAATAAATTACAAATTGGAAGTCTATTGCAAAGGTAAAAAATATTCTTGACAAATCCACCATTTTCATAATTAGACAGAAGGATTATTTTCAAATATAACTTGATACCCCAATTATCTTTTATAAAGACATAATTTACGATTAAGCGCTCATCATTTAGATAGGGGCCATCAAAACGAGAATTTAATTCATTTGATCTTCAATAGTTTTTTAATAGAAATCTGATTCTTCCATCGAAACTATAATTTACTTTTCTAAAGGGAACTTTCAGTCGTTTATTGAATTAAGCTTGTGCCTTCCCGTATGATGTGATTGAAAAAAAAGAAAAATTGAGATCATATGAGCATTTAGAGTAAAAGCAATTTATTTTGAGAGACATGACTTTTACTCTTAAAAAATGATCTCTTTTAATGATAAATAAAATTTGTGTTGCACTGTCTCCTACCAAAATCTCCATCTAATCAGATAATGTGAGCAGTTTAAAAATGCCTTTTTTACTAACTGATATTTGAAAGGGTCCCATAGTAATTTAGGCTGAAAATTAAGTTAAATAAGCCTAACTTAGGGTTGGCAAAGGATGACTTGTTATGAAGTGAGTAGGGAAATTCAGGTTTCGTAAACAAAGGGCAATTGAACTGAGAAGTGAACAAAACCTTCTCTTCAATTAATTCTCGTTATGTAGGAAGATGCGGAGAAAGCAAATCGAAAGTCATTCTGATAGAGCACTTTGAAAACATGAGATAAATGCTTTGTTTAACTGAGTAATATCCTAATCCGGATAGTTTCAGTTGACAGAGTGTAAGAAAGTTGAATTTGGATTAGGTTTAAAAGTATTTCAAGACATTTTAGAGGCAACCACTAAAAGTTAAATAAAAGAATTGAGATGTTTGTTTTGTTGACAGGTGTGGCAGTTTGGCCAACTTTGTTCCTTTTGGGGCTTCGTATCAGCTATAAATAGAGTGCTTGAAGTTTACTCTTTCCTTTCTTTTGTGAACATGTGCTTATGACGTGATTACTTGGTTTACAGGCTCCATGCACGAATATTTCCGAATTAAGGTTTAACATGGTTCAAAATTATGCCTATCTAGCCTTTATTATGAAGCATCTTCATGTAATCATCGATGCTATTTAAAATTTTTTTCATTATTCAGCAAATGATAAAAGTGGAAGCACATTTTTTAAATTTTGTGACCATCAGGGAGCTTATTTAATGGTTCCCCTTTCTTTAAGTGTTTATAACAATATGACCTTCATAAAGCAATCCTAGCATTGCATGATGGAAAATAGAAGTGAAAATTTGAACACTTGAAGATATTCGCTGTGCTTTACAGTTCTCTCAAATAAATATTATAGAACGGAAAAATTAAATTTTATTTAGCCCATCCAATCAAATATTTGCTTGAATATCGATTTTATCTTCATCTTATTGTATCAAAATTGCAAGGCGCGCAATCGCATAACCATGAATCTCCATTGTATTGGTGCTTCGTTCAATACGTTTACTTGGCATAAACTCCGTTAGAATCGCAGGATAGATACTCAATTCTACGACTCAAAGTAATCGATTTAACTTGCGCCTATGCTGTAGCGTTAGGCATATATGTAGCCATTTTAGAAATGTAGACACTAAGTCGTAGGCATTGAACCAATAGAAATGAAGCGTCATTAATTCTAACCAGACCACTAATATTTCATATGAAGGCCGGTTGAATGGTAATGGATAAAACACCAGTATTTTCCTAATCCTCTCCTTAAGCTTTCATTGCTTAGAAAAGAAAAGTGATTGCCAAGGCGAAATGCAGGTATCGATAAATTGCTTGGATATTGCAGATAAATAATTCAGATGGCTTTTCCTCATTAGCTTATATTGCTGAGATTATATATCAATCCTGGGGTGTGCGATAGACTTACCTCCACGTGGT